TTGGTATTAGCTAGTTTCAGTTTACGTATTGCTAACATATGCTCTAATACCATTTTATTTAGAAGCAACGGTTGGTGAAACCATGTCACGTGAAGAAACAGTTTTCATCGTTTCAGTCTCTGTTAAAGTTCAAAGGGATACTGAGAGTGTAGCTGTCAGCTTCCTCATCCACACTCCCACTGGAATCCCCGGTGTATGGTCAAACGTTAGACACCATTAAGGAGTAACATATGTTATATCTGGGATTACACTTTCTTAGTAAAATACAGATTCTAGTACTTTTGTTGGGAGTCCACCGCCAGCAGCACCGCAAAGTCGGACACCTAGACCGCTCAGCCACGGCTTCCACGAAAACGGAAGTCGGACAAAATGGTAGTCTAGACTGCGGACTTTGTGAACCCTCTGATAAGTGTTAATTGGCTGGCTCCCACGGCCAGCTGCATAGTATACACAATGCATTTAGAAAGTGGTCTAATGTAACATATGTTTATATATTTCAGATTACACTTTCTTAGTAGAAATTCCTAGATTCTAGCATTTTGTTGGGTCTAGAACATGGAAAAACCAAGCAAATCTTGTGTCAGCAATGAATTGATTAAATATATCTATTTCAATCTTGTAAGAAATGAGTGGCACTGTAATAAATACGCAAGAAGTGACATTCTAGAAGAAGAAACAAATGGGTTTTATAAAAAAATGTTTACTTTCTAGTGAAGGTGCACAAAATTGATCAAGAGAATCTGTTTTCCGATACAGACATTCCAAGATTGCTCTCTCAAGGAATCCAATCTAGAAGGTACAATAACATTATGAAGAATGTCTTACGGCATTGAAAAAATGAAAAAATCCTCAGGACCTGATGATTCACTGCTGAATTTTTAAAAATTCTTTGGGAATGATCTAAATATATATTTGATTACTCCCTGAACTATGCACATGAGCATGGGTCCTTATCTGTAACCCCAAAACAAGGATAAATCACATGTTTGCCTGAAGCCAATAAGAAGCCTGGGTGCCGTTCCACTAACCGATCTTAGCCCTATGACCAATCGTAAACCCCTAAAATCCCAATCTTGGCGTGACGTTACGATCGGCAACCAAAATGGTTGCTTTCCTATTCTATGTGAAAAATAAGAGCGAGCATTTCACCCTGAGGGGTCCCTAAAATCCCCATGAAATGAATTTGTATATTTCTGTGATGTAAACAAACACTGCACTTAAGCCTTACAGATGTCAGGCCAGTCTGACCACTGTCGTCATGGGAACACAACCGAGCGAGTCGGTGTAACACATTTGTACAACAATATTGCAACGTCATAGTTAAGATTAGGGACAGCCGTGAAGTGAACAATGTTCTAAAACAAAAATACAAATATGTTTGATTTGACGTCACTTATTTGGTGGGGGATTCTGAAGGCAGGCCGCGTGTTATTCAAGACCACTGACAGATTATACATACGTTATAGAGGATGCCTCGTCACGTCTTGTTTATTCTGATTGACAAAGGTTCTAAGGCACATAATAAAAGCTCTGACATAATTGACATTTTAAGTCCAGACTTAAAACCTGTTCTCGATCTATTACTTATAATCTATGCTGTAAATACTCTCGTGTAAAATTATCTGTACATAGCGCTTTGAGCATGCCTTAGGATGTGGAATAGGGGCACTTTAAATATGCATTATTATTATTATATTATGCCTGATACCCAGCGTACACACACACTTGCACCTGAAACCAAGGTGCTCATTACCCTAATATTTTGCTCTAGGTTTTTTCTCCACGTTTACACTTGGTTGGAAAAATACCCATGAAGGCCCGGATTAGAATATTGAACTTCAATAACCCATGCTTGTCGTAGAGGCCATTAACGGGATTGGGTGGTCAGGCTCGCTGACTTGGTTGACACATGTCATCGGTTCCCAACTGCGCAGATCGATCCTCATGCTGTTGATCACTGGATTGTCTGGTCCAGACTCGATTATTTATAGCTGAGATACATAGCGTTCACTAACATGAACGCTCATGTTAGTGAACGTTTTACATCTTAATTAGCTAGATTATTTACAGACCGCCGCGATATAGCTTGACTATTGCTGAGTGCGGCGTAAATCTAAACTCACTCACTCAGTTGGTTCGTACAGTACTTCCATCATTTGCTAGACTATGCAAAGGGAAATAACTCGTGCCTCGCATTCCTCTATCTCTCTAACGAAAGAGTCTCCATCTAAGCTTGGATCGGATCGTAAGATCGGTACCGGCTACGATCGGCCTAAGATCGGTTAGTGGAACGGGTGTAACTTTTAGCTAAGACGATTGTAAAATTGGCGTAACTTGCTAAGATTGATCTTAGTTAAGATCGGTTAGTGGAACGGCACCCTGAACAGTTTCTCAAATCTTGTCGTACCATTAGTCTATTGAATACCTCATATAAGGTTGGATCTACAGTTATCGCTAACAATGAGTGAGTGAGTTAATATAATGCGTCACATCAGCAATATTGTAGCCATATTGTGGCGAGATCAATTTAATTCATGATAACACAATGTCATTTAGAAAGTGGTTAAATGTAACATATGCTATATTTGGGATTACACTTTCTTAGTAAAGTACAAATTCTAGTACTTTGGGGGTTGAGTCCCACGCGGTGGAAGTGGTAAGGTGGCTGACTTTGTGTGCTGGCGTTTAGGTGCCTGACTCCGAGGGTGTGGGTTCGAATCCCGGATGGGACTCAACCTCAAAAGTACAAACATGGATTTCAATTCTCCTACATGATATAGAATCATGCGTTCTTGTAAATCATTTTGGAAGCCCTTTGTTCAAGATTACTAGAGGATGCAGACAAGGGGATCCGGTCTCGCCATATATATTCATCCTATGTGTAGAAATCTGAGGAATTATGATAAGAAAGATAAGAGGACAAAGGGTAATAAGATAGGAAATGTTGAAAGCCTTTTAGCTCAGGTTGCGGATGATACTTCATTAACATTAGATGATACTGAGAAAGGTCGCTATGCAGTTCCCAATGTCTTAACTGTTTTGCAAGGTTTCTGAACTTCAAGATAATACTGAAAAGACAAGACTAATATGGATAGGATCAAAGAAAGGTCACGATACGAGCTATCAATCTAGATTGGTTACAATCATAATTTCATCTGTTAGGTATCAAAGTTGATGTTGATGTTGATCTAGAATCTTTGGTAATCATTAATTATTCTGACAAGCTTAGGAAAATTGAGAGAGATATGACAATTTGAGAATCAAGATTTCTAACACCTATGGGAAGCAATGTTGTCTTGAAATCCTTATTACTGCCAAAAATTAAACCATCTCTTCTCATCTATACCAAGTCCACCAGATGATATGATTCAATCTTTTCAGAAGAAATGCTTTGATTTTAATTGGAAGGGTAAGAACGACAAAATCAAAAGAAAGGTTGCTACTACCGCTGCTGAATATGGAGCTCGAGGTTTCAATGGTGTTTATATTAGCAAATGTATGCTATTTCAAATTGATTCTGAAAGTATGTTGTGGAGGCATGGTCTGACTATCTAACAATTTGTTATAAGAATGCGGCTGATAGTAAATCCATCACTCTGGCACAATATTTTGATTGGTGGCAGAACAGTCTGTCACAGCAATATGGAAGGAACAGGAATAACATACTTGAGAAATAAAGTAAACGATGACGGTAATGTACTGACTTTGGAAGAAATATGATAAAGCTGTTGGTTTTCTCACATACCAAGGTCTTAAAAGAGCAATCTTTGAATATATGAAAAGAGAAATGTCACTTTTAAACAAGTGGAAGACATTCTTGCCTACCCTACATTTTTCCTTTTAGCATTTTCAAAATAGCTAATAGGAAACATTTTTTTTTTATGAAACACAATGCCAACTTTGTTTTAATAAAACAAATGAACAATTAAAATGGGAAGAAACATTGGACAGACATTTCCGACAGAACGAATTGGAAATAATAAGTTGGTGGCTAATCGATGTACTCAAAGCGTTAAATTAGAATGGTTTCAGTAGAAGATAACTCAGAATATTTTGACAACTAATATTGACTTGCATGAGATTGGATATATTGATTCATCCGTGTGTTCCTTTTGTTACCAGGTGCCTGAGAGTGTTATACATTTATTGTGTGATTTTATTCACTCATTCACTCAAATATTAAGTTACTACCAGTCATGCAAATTTATTGCTTTTACAAACAATAATCAGTCAAAATTCTTTGCATTTTGGTCCTCTTTCCACACAGTATTTTTAGACTTTGAGGCTCAATATTTTCGTCGTCATATGAGCGAATATTCTCAAGTACGACGTTAAACCCAATTTCACCTCACCTCACCTCAATATTCAAATGTAATGTAAAATGACTTATGCTTTGCAGGTTTTTAGATACAGTCAAACCTGCACTAGCCGCTGTTCATACACAGCATGGACAATACTGTGTATCGATGCATACCTATGTACATGTAACATCTGTTGGGAAATAATGAGTAATGTAAAAACGTCTTATGCCTTGCATGTTACCAGTCGCGTCAAACCTTCACTAGTCGTAGTTCATATACAACATGAACAATGTTATGTATCTACGCATACCTATGTATATGTAAACATCTTCTCGGAAATAATGGGTAATGTGGATGACAAACTGGTTGTCTGAGTGAGAGGGTATACTTATGCAATCAAAATATCCATGAACGTTTGTGTCACTGATACCAGTAGAAATGAGCATCAGAAGGCATTACCCCTGTAATAATTAGTTACTCTGAAAGTCTTAATCCATCCCTTATTTGGAATAATCCATTATGGAGATATCATAACCAGCAGATCCTAGTATGGTGATCTACCTTCAGATGTTGGTAATCTATAGCCTGTTTTTTATATTGTATTGTCTTCTGTAACTAAATATTTTAGATTTAGATACTTGTTTTATATTCATAACTGTGAGATTCTAGTTGTTTTATTGTCCTTCGCTGACAGGCTTTTTTACTGTACCTATATGTATTATAAAAGTAAACCTGTTCACTCACTCACTCATAACAGGAAGATCTCAAATATCCAGCAATATAGCCCACTTTGACAGTTGGAGACTGACAATACTCCTTTCAGTGTTGAATCCTACCTTTCTGTATCTCCCCACAGGTTCCTGTCAACCAGGAAGGTTTGGAGACTCCTGTAACTACTCCTGTCACTGCGGGACATCATGTGACGACACTACAGGTGCCTGTCCTGGTTCTTGTGATCAGGGGTGGACAAAGGAAGGAGGTCTTTGCCAGACAAGTGAGTGGCACATGCATTTAACGCTATCATATAGATGTTAATTATTCTCCTTTGTTCGGTGTTAAACCTGCCTCTTGGTACAAGCCATTATAAAATGCATGATTCTCCCTTAACTCACACCGTATATAACATTAATAGATATGTTGTCGAGTTGTGGTTGTCATTACACCATCAACTTGAATCCGACTGTCACCATACATGTAAACCCTGTGAACCTTTTCAGTATTTGCACGTACTGGGGTCTATATGGATGCATGTGTATGGCATGATTCTTGAACCACATAGGAAACATTGCACTGAGCAAGACAACATCAACAACACCTGAAGCGTACGTAGGGTGGCCCGCATCAAATGCTGTGGATGGAGACAGTGACACTGGTGGTGAGGGAAGAACCTGTTTCCACGCTGGTGGATCTCCGTCAGACTGGACAGTGGATCTTGGCCGGGACTTCCAGCTGTATGACATCAGGATCTACAGCAGACGCAATTGTAGGTACCCAAGCATCTTGATCTAACACAGATATGAGCAACAGGCTGATATTGCTCTATCTGACGAGGCATATTTTCATTATACACTTGTGATGAAACCAAAGCAAACAGTACCACCCCATCACCTAATATACCTCAACGTGTGATATCTCCACTTATCTGTATCTGCTCACTTCTAGTATTTCATACGGTTCGCACCCATAACCCCTACACACACATTTCACCTACACCCCAGTTACCTACTGGGGCAGATGCCAGATGCTTTAAATATACCATTTATATCAACATTTAAACATTCCACATCAATGAATTGGCTCCGAAACAATTCCGTCTCGAGGTGTATACAAACAATTGATACCGGGTAACAGAAGAACGTAAACATGCATTAGGTTTGTATTACTCTGTCTCAAACTACAAAATATGGCATTTTGGTTATAACGGTGGGGCACCATCATCTAATATACGTGAACGAGTGTTATGTAAACGCATTTAAATCAATCCTATTATCGCTATACAGTTTCAAGATTAATTTACATCCTCTACAAAATCCAGGGCCATTCCGCTGATTTAAGCTAATTTCAATACCAGCAATAGTAGTTCTTACATTTAGCCTACTTACAGTCGATAATATTATCAAGTTTACCCAACAAGACATGAATGGAATAAATATAGGTCATCACTTTGGGGTGGTAACTATGCTGTATCAGGACCAGACAGTATGTGTTTAACTCTGCTTTGCAGATTCTATACTGTGATTATTTATTGGAGTGTGATATACATACATATATACTAACGGAAAAAAATAACTGTGCATAACATAAAATTGCATAAGATAAAGTTATTTGAAAATTATAAAAATAACCCTAAATAAACATGTAGCAAAACACTTTGCATGAAATGTGATGCCACGTAATGCGCGTGGCACGTGCACTTTGTCCACAATGAATTTACTCACTTTTGAAAAGTTGAAAATTGGAGGACGGTTGATTATTCTACAGCCTCTGAATGCTTTGGAAAACTCGTTAATTGCAACCTAAACTGCGCGTACGTCATGTCACGGCTTACAGAAAATCAACGTCTCCGCGCCGTGGGTATGCTCTATAGAGACGTTTTCAACATAATGGGAACAGGAGAGATGCACACGTGACCTCACGTCAGCAAGACAACCATATTCGGCTGACCTGAATCGATTCCAGACAGCCATTTTGTCTGCTTGGACCATTCCTGGCTTACGTCAATCAGGTCCAGGCCTGAAGTACCGACTGAGAGACCATAACATCCTACCCCGGCGGCCTGCAATACGTCAATTTTGCTCCAACGTCACCGACAGGCACGTCTTGCCAGGTACAGGCAGCATCTCACAGTACAGGAGATTGATATTGTGTGTTGTTCACTGATGTCGAGATTTCATCTGGAAAGCTCAGATGGCAGGGCAAGGGTGTACAGACGGCGAGGATGAACGGTATGTTGACGCATGCGACTTTCGACGTCGAGTGCGAAAGCGTTATGATATGGGAGGTAACGCAACCTTCATCGTCGCACACAACTTGTCAATGGCAATATGACAGGTCTGCGATTCAGGATGAGATGATTGGGTCTCTGACGTTAGCTGAATTGGGACAAACGTTGGTTCAGACATTGAACAACGTTCTCCAAGCTTCCTTCAATCTCTTAGTGTCGTCAATGCGTCGTCGTTGTCACGCCTGCATCAACACCAATGGTGGACACACACGATACTGAATTTGTGAACTGTCATTTTGACATCACATCTCTTCGAGGGCGTCAAATCATACATTTCGATATTCTCCTGTCAACAGTCAAATACATCAAATAGTTATTACGGAAAACATCACAGATCATGTTATTATCTTTTTGCATTAAAATGGCATTACATCAAATGATGCACAGTTACTTATTCCAGGAGTAGAATTGCTTCGCTTCACATAATGTTGTTGTGTCTTGGTTGTGTTTGATACCTATTAGAAACACACAAACATGTCTTACTGTTTATATACGGACGGTTTAGTAATTAACGTATTCATAACATTCATGATCAGGACGTTTACTGTTAGGCACCCTAAATGTATCTCGTTCAGTGAAGGAATGACAAATTTAGCTTCAAAGGGATTTTTTTTGCAAAACATATGCACTAATCAGAACAATCTTGAGCTTCAATGGGCTGTTATGTCTTTCTCAATTACGGTATTATTCCATTACATGAACATAGTTCTGTGATCTGAAATGTGAGCAAACAACAACTATATTGACACAGTATTAAAACATGTTTGGTTTTCAAGTCTACTTTAGAAATGCCAACTCCAGCATCTATCTGAAAGTATTATTATGTAACGTAGAATAAAACATCTGTTTTCCAGTCTACTATAGAACGCCGATTCTAACATCTACCTGAACAACGACGCCTCCGCCATCTGCTCCACCCTCCCGAGGCCATCAGATACTCCCAACCAACTGACGCGACGTGTAGATACCGGCAGATACGTCACCATTAGGAGCCAGGGGCTGGAGGAAGTGATGGCTATGCTAGTGCACTGAGCATCTGTGAGGTGGAAATCTATGGTAATCATGTATTGTATTAAGTATGTGTATTTGTGTGCTTGTGACATGCATGTGTTTGACTATCCATTTACAGCGAATGTACGGAGTCATTTAAGTTCCATTCAGGGTCCCTGATCCATAAATCATTTGTAACCTGTCGTAAGGTTCATCATATGCTAAGAAGGCTTTGTGGATCAGGACCCTGATCTTTAATCTCAATATTTGAGCAGCTTTATCAAACACATTGTGAAAGCGTTGCAGTGTTGATTGGATGTATTCATTTATGTATAAGTGGGTATTTGAAGCTCGGTCTTTTATAGTCGACAATGCACTCATACCTAACAAGATGCAATAAATATTGGACACGATGGCACACTCAACGTCTGTGAGGTGGAGATCTATGGTAAGTCATTTATTCTATTTACAAGAAATTGTCCATTCGGGTCCTGGTAATACAAATGTGTTCTAATGTCCTTCAACTCCAAAGACCTTGTTTGTAAGTTCCTTTACAGAATAAATTCTGAGCATTTGTAAAATTATCAACGATATCTTGGAGTGTGTTGACAGGACGTTTTCATTTATATCAAACTGGATAATTTATAATGGTTATTTCTCTTTGTTGTGTTCCACTTGTATGCATGTTTCATAACTTCTATTATTAATTTCCCGCTGCCGATGTGACTATTTTAATAACAATAAACTTATATTACATAGTTTTTAACAACTGGACGCGTTTTCTTTGAACAGCTGGAACTAGATCATAAACAAACATTGAACACTCTCCACATATTTATTCAGTGACATTTAATTTGGAGATAATTGATGAACGAGGAAGACCTCACGCACATTCTATTATTGTGGCAACTAGGTGGTTAGACTAACGTTCCTCGGGTGTATCTTGCAACGGAATCACAAATTACAGCAGTTTTGTGTTGCTGAATCCTAAGTCTGTCTCTATATGGTTTCAACTGACTGAGTCAACGTATAAACTGAAGTGTATTAACTAAAACTTAACTGTTGTTGATCGCGCAAATCGCCTCTGTCTATTTACACAGGGCAGTGGAATATTGAATTGATACGGTTGTATGAAGTTTAAGATCAGAATTTCAATAGTTTGATTAAACGAAGTTTGAAACACCTATACTCTACACTAAGTAACTGAATGAAGAAGAAGGGTTTATTTTGTATAAAGGCCAGACGACCCATCGTACAAGGTGGTACAATAGTGGTTTTGGTTACCATTTTCATACAACAACGCTAACAGGAGCAGAATAAACATGTTCTAAGAATTTGACAAAATTATTTATGATGTTATTGTCGGATGATGTACATATGTTGCGGAGTGAATAATAATATCCATGGACCGTTTTCGGAATGTAACGCCGACGCATATCCTCATAGCGTTTACAAACATAGACAATATGGATTTCATCCTCAATACTTTCACAGTGTTTACATAATACAATATCATCATTGCAGGAGGCAGTACCTCTTCTAATATATTTGATACCACAGTGCATTACACCCTGATCTAAATAATGTGAACAGACGCTTGCACGTATTACTTATATTCAATGATAAATATTTTTCACAGGTCAACAGAGATTTATGGGACTTATAGAAGGACAGCGAAGGAACATCTAGGGACAAATGCCACTCTTGCATAGAGCAGTTGTTAATTCTTTCAGTAAAACATATATAGAAACATTTTTGTATCACCGACATCTTGTGAAATCCAAGCTGTACCAAAGCCAAGATAAAATAACAAATCACTGACATGCCGAGCCCATGTGGGACGGTTCCTGAATTCAACAGATAATAAAAAATTATAACATTGATATGGATATCTACTTTGATGCATTCTCAATAATCTTAGCCAGTATTTAATACATTTGACATAGCACACGTTGCTTAAGGGTGCCCTCCACATTCCCCATATGCAACAGCATTAGATGATCTGTAACTAATCTGGAGTAAAATTTGCAAAATTTTCGATGGACAATTTCAATACTTTCTCTCTTTTTAAAACCCCATATCTCAGCACCATATGTTAGAATTGGTACAATTTTTTTATCAAAATATAAAATCCTTCTGAGAGTGACATATCGTATCGTCTTATAAATGGCTTGATCGGCCACAGTGCTTTATTAAGCTTGATCAGATAATGTTTTACATGCCCTAGTCCAAATCAATTTGGGAGTTATCATAAGTCCTAGATATTTATAAACATTGACAGTTTCCATTCGAATGCCATTATAGAACCATTTTTCGTGTTTGGACAAGGGTCCACCCATTTTAAAACAATTATTTTACTTTTATCCGTATTAATATCCATGCCCCATTTATGGGAATACATATGTAGGGCGTCAAGGCGGCGCTGTAGTCTAACAACAGTATCAGCTATCAAAACCAAATCATCTGCAAATAACAGAGCTATAATATTCAACATATGTTCGGAGATAAATATACCGTCATCAAACTTATTTTCTAAGGTCGATACGAGCTCATTAATATATAAAGAAAATAATACCGGACTAAGGACACAGCCTTGCCGAACCCCACAGGTGCTATCAAAATATTCAGTTAATTTCTTACCGTACTCAAAGGTTACAGTGGCCTTGACATTAGTATACATATTTTTAATCAACTTGAAAAAATTTCCATGGATCCCATTTTGCAAAAGAACATAGAGTAATTTAAACCTATCCAACATATCCAAATGAGATCCAAAATAATACCAATTTTATGAAGCTAGTAAATGCTTCTGTTGCCGATTCGGAAAAGTCATTTAGAATTCTGTATTGAGATCTTTTAAAAACGCCTTCAAGTAAAAGACTAACTTGCCTGTTATGATAAAAACGTTTGTCGTAATCAACGATTGCATTCACTATCCCATTATGCCTAATCACCCACGTTATAGATTTAAATTCCAAAATTCACTTTTCAATATGTTTCCCTACCCCTCCAAACCGCCTCCGTGGTATAGTGGGTTAATCGTCGGAGAAGGGAATGAAATGCTGGCGGTTCGATTTCCTTGAAGCGTCACATCAAAACACGCTTAACTATCGGAAGTATTGTTACTCTGGTTAAAACAACCACAATTTTTTTAAACAGAATCTTAAACCAAATTTTACCACATACCAGCTTTCTCTCATTCTCCCAATAACATTAACTGTACCTCATGACAATGTACCAGTCTGCAGCCCAGGAGTCTACGGGGTGAACTGTAATAAGTTCTGTCACTGCCTGGATTCAACCTGTGATCGTTGGACTGGATTCTGTCCTGGAGACTGTAGACCAGGGTGGCAGGGACAGAGATGTGATACCGGTGAGACGTTTCTACTGTCAGTATTGATAGGTTCCAGGTAGTGGTACTGGAATCTTCAGATACGTAGACGCATACATTAGACGCTGACTGTAGGTTATTCATGATGTCGTTCTGGAGGTCTTATTATGGGTAAGTTTTCAGTGGCCTGTGAAGTAGTGCATCAACATTACCTTCCTTCTGACCCGTTTCATACACTTTGTTGAACCGATTACCTAGAATGCTTCACAAGTTGAAAGCCTTTCAACTTTATTTACGAATGAATATTTTATTTCTTATCCATATTTTACAGCTTGCAACAGCACTACGTATGACACTAACTGCAAGAAAACGTTTGCTGGGCGGAAGTGTTCAGCTCCAAGTTCGTCATGTGACCGTCACACTGGGGCATGTGACACAGGATGTCTTCCTGGTTGGATAGAGGTTGACTGCACACAAGGTAAAGAATGTTGAAAGTTTATTGGTATGAATCGGCACAACAATCATTTGCAACTTGAAACCAAATAATCAGTTATTGCGGAAGGGACTTTAAGATGAAGAACGTCAATGCACATGCAGCCGTGAATGCACTCTAACCTCTACTGTTCTTTCTCACAGAATGTGCCAATGGAAAGTACGGCGAAAATTGTACAGGTCTTTGCTCTGAAAGACACTGTGCCGGAAATTCACCATGTGATCATGTGACTGGGTCATGTAATTCTGGATGTAAAGCTGGATGGATGGGTGTTGATTGTAAAGAAGGTCAGTCGTTAAAATGAATCGTAATTATTAGTAAGTGAATAAGAAATAATCTTTGAGCCAAAGCCTTTCTTCAGAATATGTACGGTACACCTTATGGTAAATTACAATATGGAAACCGTGCCGTTCTATTTCAGCTTGCGATTCCAATCATTATGGACCCAACTGTCATGGTGTATGCTCCTCCAGACACTGTGCAGGGAACTCTTCCTGTCACTCAACAGGAACCTGTGACAGTGGATGTGAGACAGGATGGACACAGGGTGACTGTACAGGTAATGTCCTTATGTCACATGTTACTAATGCACAAACGAGGTTTAATTAATTTGTGATAATCTAGTCGTTATACTGTCCTTCACTGACATATTTTTAAAAAAAGTTATAATATGTTTATTCTTAGTACATAACTGTCGTCACGATATAGCTGAAATATTGCCGATGTGACGTATACTTGTAACCCACTCACTCACTCACATGTTAATAGTGAAGGACACTCTATAATTCATCTATTGGTTTTAAATAAAATGCGCAGTATACATTTCAAGCTGAAATACCCTTTCATCTGTCACCAATAGTAATATATATCCCTTCGGCGACAGGTTTGATTGACAAATGTCTTCAAGAACAAATCAGAATGTGTTCGCTCATGAGGTCCAGAACAGGACTACTTGTATTGTTACATTTTTAAAAGTAAATTCAAATATTAAAGCTAAAAGGCTTGGTTAATATATGGAAGTTTTGAATAACAATGCTCATCGTTATGGATGCTTTAAAATACAGCAAAGGCAGGAGAACACGAATACCTTTCGAGGTGGATTAAGTCAGAGCGTGTCACGATCATCCAAACTGTGGTAGCCTTACAAATTACTTTTATTGTCATGCCTTTTACTTTTGTAATAACGCGACGAATAATCATTCCATCAATAAAGTAATTGTTGGTGAAATATAATTAACGTGAAACATAAAACATGATGACCACATAAGTCGAGGGTGTATGTCATGTCAGGTTATGAACAACGATTGGTCATAGTCCACTACTATGTTGCTCAACGACTCTTCAACAATACTCTAAACAGTAGATCACTGCACACAAGGGAAATGATAAACCCATTTTCATATGCAACTCTGGGTTTATCATTTCCCTTGTGTCGACTTTTACGACTGAGCATGTATTTATGAACCACTATGTAATAGTGATCACACCGCACGTTCGAGAAATGGTGAGGTTGTCATGGCACAAACACAATGAAAACCAAAGTTCAGTGTTCACATGAAGCAAAACAATAGTACCATGAACATACTGTAATTCATGAAAATTATCATATCTAATAACGTAATGCGTACATTATATCACCATGTCATGGTTTATATTTGAATACCAAGGGTGATTTTTCTCATTCAGAGGGGTATTCTTGTTGTATTTGCTGGAGTATATTGTAATAGTTATAATAATTATGTAAGTGTGGAAATTTAGACGAAACTACATTTCTATGTTTTACTTTTACAGTGCCTGTCAACTGTCGTCCTGGAAGGTATGGACCAGGATGTACAGAGTTCTGCAGTTCCCGCAACTGTAAAACACCATCTTCTGTGTGTGACGTCACTGGATCGTGCCCAGATGGATGCCGGGAAGGATGGCAGAATGATGACTGCATTATACGTGAGACTAAGATTGAGAATTGTTTTCATAGTGCTACCTATTTCTACTGTTATATAAGATATATATCGTATATGTAATGCCGAATGCTAATGAACTGTGGACGATATACATATCAAGTTGAAATAGATTTTGCGGAGATGACACGTGCTGCTATTTTGTCATGTGCAAATGCGTAAGGTATGTAATGCGAAATGCCAATTGTATGTTATATACTGAGTGAATTGCCAGTGACATTACAATTCAGTAACATTGTTATTGTGACTCTTTATGTATCATCTTGATTGAATGTAGATCGAAAACCTTGTTGCAAGACATTTCAACCTCACGAAACAAAGATGTAATTGTTCGGTGACCAGTCTCTCTCTTTCTTTGCGTGAAGCATGTCAGAGCAGGAAGTACGGTTCTAACTGCAGCAAGTCTTGTGATTCACGTCATTGCCAAACTGCACCAGTCTCCTGCGACCACGTGACAGGAGCCTGCGCTGCCGGTTGTCAGGAAGGATGGATTGGATTAGACTGTACTCAGAGTAATGTTTCCAGAAATTCATATTTAAAATATATTCTTAGAATTAGAAACGCATAGATGATGTTGATATGCGTCTATACAGCACTAGCTCTGAAATGGTTTGAAAGATATTTCGAGCTAATATGTGAGTCGGCTGAGGAAGGAGTAATGCCAGGTGAGAGTGCGGTCTTGTATGCAGTGCCCATGGTATCTCAGGTCCGCCAGTATGTGTAGAGTATTGATGTTTTATTATTTCAATCAGAAACACTGTTTTAGATGTGGGACTTACTTACTGATGAAAGAGCTAATTATCACTAGTCTTGCCTCTTCCAAAGCTGACAAAGCTGGTAATAGCCTACAACAGCCTGTCAGCATTTCCATCATATGATCGATAATCTCCTTTAGACCATACATTTTCGCAGGAGGCAACACTCATGATAATTGTATACATTGTATTTTACCGTATTTTCAAATGTGTCCTCTCTCATCAGGGTTTCATATGCTGTATATTACTGTATATCAGTGGGGAATTCAGTAGAAGAGCCAGAAAGATTTGATAAGATATGTCATTGCTGAAACATATTTAAATTTACTTCTTGATAGTAAAACTTCATCACTTAATACCGGAACTGTTTTACTTTCAGGATGCAAGCCTGGAACTTATGGACCCTGATTGTACTCGTTGTGGATATTGTGACGTCACGTGCAATGTTGGAGATGGACGCTGCCCCGGAGAATGTCTGGACGGCTTCACTGGTGACCGATGTGATGAGGATGTTAGAGGTTCGAATCTCATTTATGCCTTTATAAAAGTTGCTTTAGATCGGCGTTAACGTTGATATACATTATGCATGGGCGTATTATAGTCAGTGATATTAAATAATGTCAAACGCACAACTAATTTGTTTGTGTATCTGGTTCAGTGTCTCCTGTTACAAGCGGCGTCATTGGAGGAGCGGTAGTACTTGTTGTAATGCTGTTGCTGATTGGTGGGCTGATGATGTGTCTGCTGAAATCTGGAAGGTAACTTTTGAAAAAGTTTTGAAGAAGCAGTAACAATTATATAAAACAGTTATAAAAATGTGTGCACGGATATTGCTGTTAATACAACCTACGAAAGGTACACGCTCAGCGGAAAGTTTTCAATTTCTATTAATGGATCAGTGTGCACTCGATTTCAATTTTCAGCTTCCAGTGGAGTATACAACAGTTCAAGATAGATTTTCAGGCTCTAAAACTGTCCCTGTCCTATTTCTATAAAACGTCTCTGTTTCAGACTGAAATGGATATCCTCACCAGGCACAGGTGTCAGAAATACAGACACAGGGGCAACTGGAGAGATTCCTTCTTATGCGAACACGTCTGGAACGAATGAACAAGACTACACCGAACTGAGTGAAGTCACCAGGGAGGAGAGAGAGGAGAAGTCACAGTATGATATCATTCAGAACAAAGTGTATGGAAACAACCAAATCTGAGTTGAGAGCAGCGGATCCTTTTCGAACGTGCTATGGCATACATTTAATTTTCACAAAGCTGAATATGATCTGTCAGAGAACAACTCTGGAATAGTGTATATGGGTATACCATGAAAGATATCCAGCCTGAAATATGATATTAAAATCTTTTGAGTTTACTTTCGTATTTGGTATTTTGTACATATAATAAGTGTTAATGAGTTGTCGTTATTGTTATGGTATTGTTATATTTGTTGTTAGTTTTATGATTATCGCGTTTTATATATATATATATATTGTGCATTGAATGTAATTTGCTTTCCTGTATGTATGTTACTGAAAATCAGATAATTGACACTTATATTTTGTACTGCGAGCATGATATATACCGCAGAAGGAAGGGCATATAATGATATCCTAGACAAAACTGGCAACGAATACTTTACACAGGAAAGATTAAAATGAAAAAATATCCCGTTGTACACGTATGTTGTATCCGGTCAGTTAATAACATGTACCCTTCCTGGTGTCATTAGATAGTATGACTGAAATCATGACCACCGATGTCCGCAGATGTGATACTTTCCGATCTGCAAATATACAAACACTGCAAAACATAAAGGAATGTATCAAATACGCTTTGCTCATGTTTTTGTTTTAATGTATTTCACCACCTAAGTAATTGTTGACTTCTTCGTTTTGCTGCATTTTAAAATTTCTCTGTATGTGATTAATTTGTATAACCCATGTTCTATTTCAGCAGAATAAAATTTACCAACAAAGGTTTTCTTAATTTATCCACTTTTCCTGACGCATTACATCCTAGTTATCAACAACAGGGGATTGCCTTTCGCAAATCTGAGTCTTTGGACTATTTTGTTCTTATCTGAGAAAAATTCAAGTTACTTTGTTATTTTTGAGAAGAATTGGAATTGTCTAAAAATGTTCATCTTATATACACATCATGCTCATTGTGAACATTGATGTGGTAAGGTATGGACTGACCTCAGGGGAAGGTCATTCCTAACTTCTCTGTGAGAGCTGGCACCAAGAGGTGAATTGTATGATAGGCGTCTTTAGACTGACTGACTGAGTGAGTTTGGTTTTACACCGCTTTTAGCAATATTCCAGCAACATCACGGCGGGGACACCAGAAATGGGCTTCACACATTGTACCCATGTAGGGATTCGAACCCGGGTCTTCGTCGTGACGAGCGAACGCTTTAACCATTAGGCTACCCCACCGCCCGCGTCTTTAGAAGTTGTGCAATGAGAGAGTAGCAAATGTGTGGACTAGTTAGTTAGCTTGATAACGGTAAAGGGTATGTCCCGAAACGTCGCCATATGGATATCAAAGATCCCGTGTTCGACTTTAAGTGCACCTGTGCAAGACATTCACATTAAATTGCTACAGACGTATAAAGTACTGAATATAACTGCTTTTTGCATGTTTCGTTTCTATCCGGATGTCAGTAAAACGGAAGTACATTTTACATGTCTGCAAACATTCTATTTCCAAAGCCAGTATACCCATTTCCTGAAGCAGAAATTATTTCATTCCACAGGAAGTGAGTATAACTCTCATACAAATGTAACATTGAACTTTTCTTGCAAATCTACGCAAGAGAAAGAGCCAATGTAAACGCCAGGAACAGATCCTATGTTGTGTAAAGGCCGATACAGCTGTGAAAATGTTACTGCGCTGTATGTTGTGTTATGGGATTGACCATTTAGTATCGGAAATAACATAAGAATTCTAGACTACTCAGCACTTAAACAATATCAACACATAGAGTAGACACAGAAGGTCGCATTTAATCAACCAAGGAAAATACCTATTGCCATTAAAAGCCGGATAAATGTAACATATGTTTCGAGGGATTTCACTCTCTCAGTAAAGTAAAGGTTCAAGTACATGTTGAAAGGTGAATCCATTTGGGATTCGAACCCACTGTCTCGGTGTGGATTCTAATCGCCAGCTCACAAAGTCATCGATATAACCCACATCGACTTCCACCAAAGCAAATTTGTCGCGTTTAATGAACAACGGGAAAGTAACAACTCAGAGGTATAAGTCCACACATGAAAGAAAACGCCACACGCTATACAGACAAACCAGATATGTTGTATTCTGTTTAAGTTGATGTAAATAATATTCCCGAGCGCTTATACGTCGTCAGGGCTGACCGCACGTGACCCAGATGGAAGCTACCCTGCAAGCTCTGTTCGGAGTCACCCTTACAACGGGTCAGTGAGTCACATGCATGCTTAGGAGGAGAATGAAGTGAGTGTGAGCTGTTGATACTCCACTTCAGCTGTTCTGGAATGTCCCTAACATTGATCAAAGCCGTAGTCGTGTCTCGCTACATGTGTGCATAGAACACTTCTTATGATGTCCCTCTCCGTGTTCAGTCTGAAATGGATATACACGTTATTGAGGAAGTGTTACACAGACAACGAATATGAAAGCTGGCGACATTGTTCCCATTACAGTGATATGTGTCGTTTGATACTCTGACTGTTCGCATAGAACCGCTTGTGCAGAAGATCCGCTGTCTGAACCCAGCGATGTTGCAGAATGAATTCACCCCGTAACTTCAAAGCTGAATATACATAAATACATAGAGTTACACAAACATGACACAGTGGATCGCAGATGACGTAACAGTCTGACAGGGTGTTTTTACTTCCTCGTTGTTCACCATGGCGGGTGTAAGGATATTGGTTGTGTTAGTGTGTATAGGAAGGACACAGTTGGCATCGGGTGAGTAGATCTGATTAGTTAACTACGACAGAAACATATGTAGACACACTTGCGTCGTTCAAGGCGTAAAATATATTGCTGGATTCGGGCGGAATGAACAAGATACTAACTGTTAAGAGTGTAATCTGCTGGCTATACCCGGAATATTCAGGGACTAATTAAAGTCGCCTCTTGTAACTACAACAGAGAGAATACACATAGTGTTACACATACTGTAGATATTCAGTGGGAGTAACTGTTAACGCAGTTTGACTGGGTATTTTACTTCCTGGTTTCTCAACATTGTGGTGGTCTTACTTCGATGGATACTGCTGACATCAGGTGAGAAGATCAGCTTTGTTAATATCGACGAAACATTTCTGCATTAAACCACATCAATAAAGGTTCATAATTGCATTTTACGAACTTACAAACTTCTACACATTATGTTATGGTCACAAACAAGAGCAATGTCTGCTTGTGTATTCCACCGAATTACCTTGAAATCCAAACGTAATGTAAATAAATCGCAACTGTACACGTGCATTCACATATGACGTTGAAAGTACACCCCTCACTTCACTCGTCGGCAAACATGTGCTGACGTCAAAATCTGACTTAAAAAGACTGGGTCCTGTCAAACATTACCAGCGTTTAAATCATCCGTACACACCCGTAACCAAACCCAGGGCCATCCAAGCCCAGAGATGAAGTCACCAACATTGAGACTCTGGGCCCCTATTCTCGAAAGGATCCTAGCCCTAGGATATCCTAACTTTGATCCTAGGGTATAGGATAGGTGTTCTACCTTATTCTCTAAAAGTATCCTAGCGCTAGGGATATCCTTACTTAGGACAAATACTAGGATAGGGTCTGACTTGTCCTATCTATCTTAATGGAAATCAACATGGTGTGGTTCTTGTTTGTTCACCAATTTTGACGTTGTCAAACAAAACATTTCAAATGTAATGTCATTTGTATTTACAAGAGCACACAGTTTTGATGTGTTAAGAAGAGTTTTTGAGTTGTTATTATCAATTTATCGGTAATGAATAGACACACTTGTTGCGATGCACATATTCTTTAGATCTACAAAGAGATTTGTTCAGTTCTTACCTATTCTCGGCCGTTTTAATCACAACATTGCTCTCTCCAGTCACATTGCCGTGAAATGTCAATGTCAAGGCCAACTTGACAGGGAAGTAACTCCGATCCTGTTTATTTCCTAGGTGAATTTTTCAGTTTGTGAGATGATGCATAATGAGAGTTCAAATGATGATTTTCATAAAAACAAATACAATGAAAATATTTTTTGCACATATCTTTAATATCCTTATTGTTTTTGGCAGACTTTCAAAGTCTGAAGTAGAAATGTTATCGCCTTGTCAAAAAATAATTTTCAAAACTTCAAAACTACTATATAATGTGATGAAAATATCGAATAATTTCTTGTAGATCTACTAAGTCCATCAAAAGCTGAATTTCCTCATATTATGGGAATCATGGGTAATATTTAGGGGAATCCCCAACTTAATGAGGGTTTTTCTATGTCACCTACAGAAGAGCTCACTATCCTAGCTAGGATGGGCAGCACAACTTAGGACAGGGATAGGATCGTTTCAAGAATGGGTCTTATCATAACGGTAGGATGTCTAACTTCTGTCTTAACTACTAAGGATCTGTCTTAGCTGGGACACTTTCAAGAATAGGGGCCCTGTCATCCAAAGGACAGCGTTAATTGTAGTCAAAAGAAAATGTTATAACTGATACATTGTCATGTTCATTTGTAGATCATAAGCTAAATGGCTCTTTAGCATTATCCCAAATATGCGTCAGAACACTTGGTTAGGGATAACAGGACACACAGGGATGGAAATGGCAGGGTGGGTTAGTTTTGAAAGAGTCCTAGAGTAATGGTGTTATGGTGTTCTGCTAGGATGACTCATCGCGGATATTGGGTAGCACAGGGAACTGGGTAGGTATAGCAGGATCCCAAAGTTGTACTGTTCGGTGAAGGGATAATAAGAATAGGTGAAAGGGTAACAGGAATGACAGAAACTTGGTATGGACGATAAAACATTTTGGTAGGAAGACAGTATCCTGGCTTGAGATGACAGGAGCGTAAGGTAGGAATGGCATGTGACCCAAGTGTAAGGATGTATGGACCTCGGGTTATGGATGACAGGACAATGTTTAGATGCATGTGATTCTGTGGAAGTGAAATGGTAAAAACAGTTCAATGCAAACGAACAGTTTGTATAGTTTGAGTCACTGATACGAATTCACGTATACACGTTTTACTGCACGGTATCGTTCGTTGATCATATACAGGATTAGTATATGTTCAGTGAGTGTAAGGTGTACATTGTACAAAGGCAATACTATTTCTTCCTTGCTCATGTAGGGTATAGGAATGGAATTGCCGATGTCAGTCAGATATATAATATTTGACTCAAAGATTGCTGAGAACAGCGTCTTGAAGGTATAAAAGAACTTTCACCGAATGGAGCGTACAATTACACACATTACAATAATAATGTACCTCATTTAGGGCCCAAATTTCGTGATAAACATACGTGATAGACGCATTGTACCCATATGGGGATTCAGAACCCAGGTCTACGGCGTGACAAGACGCTGCAATTAAGTCAGCATCACATTCTACTTGGCTGGGCTCACGTCAGTTGGAAAGACCAGAACTGGACCCTAGTTTCACAGATGAATCGAGATATGCTCTGAAATTCACAGATCATTGTGTCCGAGCGTGGGCTAGATAGGAGAAAGATATCAGGATTCCATCAAAGTCTAGCATGACAGGCTTGATTTGGACTAAGTCATAGTTTTGGTTGTTATCTGTGGATCTGGCCATGGGAGCACCAATCTCTATGCCATACTTTGGGTCATCATGACAGGTGTTATAAGGATGACATTCCGAACGTCTACGTGAGACCGCATGCAGGTGCATTGTGCATTGTGCCATGGACGTTGATACCAATTTAGATGGTGAGATCATTATCTGTATGGGTGGCCAGTCCTGCCATTAGAAGTAAACTTTATGGAACACAAGTGCATTGATCACCCGTTCACGACGAGATATCCAGACGGCATCTGTAGAGGGACTTTGAAATTCACTTATTGAAGAGTAAATTCTATTTTTGAGGCAAATTTACAAGGAGCATGAGACGACAGTATAAGGCTGTGCTTCCATACGGTTGATCATGTACACAACTGAGAGTTGTGGTGTTTTTATTTAGCTAATTCATGTGTTGCTGTTTTTGTTGGCATTGTGTGGTTTGCATTACAAGGGGTATGCACATTAAAAGTAACACCGAGAGCAAGTAGGGTTAACGTTCATCACGTACCGCACGTGCACGTCTCACTGTTCCAACTTCTGCTTACCCCTTGTAGTACAAACCAATAATAGCGATTTGAATATAAGTGATCGTTTGTTAAACAACTTTTATCCTAAGTTGAAAAAAATGCTGAGATTTAAATGTTCATCTGGCAAGGTAAAATTATGAGGATTCGCAGTCTTAACATTGCTATATTCCATTCAAATGTTTTTGTTTAAAGTGAAATTCATCTGTACGTTTTGACTGCAAACAGAGTATACCTTCAACAATTGTTGACGACCTATAGCCTGTTTTATATTGTTTTGTCTTCGTAAATAAAATAGTTGTAGATTTACATTCTATTTTTAGACACCATCTGTGATAATCTAGTTATTTTACAGTCCTTCTGTGACTTGTTTTTTAACACTTTAAAGTTATTGTGTATGCAAAACATTTCTCGTCACTATATGGCTGAAATATTGCCGAGGTGACGTTAAATGCTAACTCACTCACTCACTCTCCACAGGTTCCTGCGCATCAGGACTGTTTGGAGACTCCTGTAGCTACTCCTGCCACTGTCAGACACCATGTGACGAGACTACAGGTGCCTGTACTGGTGATTGTGACACTGGATGGAGGAAGGCAGGGGGCCTTTGCCAGAAACGTTAGTGACACGTTCAGTTTACGCTTTTTAGTCTATTAATTATTCTGATCTGTTCTGCATGAAAAAGGCTCTCCCTAAAGAAAGTATATATATTTCGTGATATTCACCTATTTTTCATGTAGAATTCATATGTGACAGTAGTATAAAAGTAATCTGCCATACACATACAATAGCATTCCTCATACCCACACAAAAGAATTCCTCACCCAAACAATAGCATTCCTGAACCAAACAAAGAAATTCCTACAGGCTCAGCCTTAAAGAATGTAGGTTCATTACATTATAAATGACATTCCATAGGTTCAGTTGTTACAACAAAAGAAATTCCTACAGGCTCAAAGAAATTCCTTAAGGATCATAAGACATTCCTTAAGGGCGTAGAGCAACACAAAGACATTCCTTAAGGAGCGTAGGAGTAACCATAGAGGTGAAACGGCATTCCTACAGCTGCCTCTCAGGTATATACAGGTGCGCTAACTCACATTCCATAGATACGACATTTGTCAGTACACGTTCCTACTATTCAAATATCAAATTCTTATAGTTTTTTTCCTTGTTTTATGTAAAATAAGCAATGCAAGTTGTATTACACTCCATTTAATCATGCTCACTTCAAAAAACAGTTTTACATGTAGATAACAGATACGTAACGATGCCGTGAAAGGGTTAATCGAACTTATTCACCACATGCCACAGACTGTCTTTTCATTGTAGCTATATCACTGTACCTTAACATATTGGATGAAGATAACTATTCAATTTGTTTTATGCCCTTGCAAATCATTTAACCCTGTATAAGTTTTAATCCGGTTCATTATATATCATTTTTAAATATACACAACACCTAACTGCGTAGACAAAAGGGTTAATCATGTTAAAATGAACACATTACAGTCTCCTGACAGCTATGCCCGCATCGTGTTATTGCATGTTTACATAACGTTGTAATGTAGGTCGTCTTTTTCACCTTAAGCAGAGCATACCGAATATCAACAAAAACGTCTGCTTACTAGCACACAAAGAATGTCTGTCAATTCAAGCATGTATTTGACGTCATGTTTGTGACTGAGTTAGTTTAAACTCATGACGAAGGAATGTTTTTTACAGCATGTTCATAATCACGATTTTTTAAATATCACAAATAAAATCGTGAGGGACGAAAACTTTTAAATTTATTTATCTATGACTAGTGGTGTTTTTGAAATCATATGATGGGTTTATGACATCAGTAAAAGTCGTCACACAAAATGTTGTGAAATTTGGATCACGATTCTAGTTATTTTATTGAAATTATGCTCATGCGCTGGTTCAAAATAAATTTTGCAAATTCACTTTATGCTATATAAAGAAATGTAGACTACACATTCTCTACTATTAGCTTCTCTTATACTATGACTAGTCAGTTTTTTATTGACGATCACCTTGGTTTCGTTCTTCAGAATCCAGCTTCACAGACATATATATTGTGTGACACGGTAAAACGTCAATTGAAGAAATTGTTATTGTATTTGTTAGAAATTCTGAAATCATACGATCGATTTCAAATTTCAGGTACAAATATAAGTTCATCACAGTACGATCTGCATACCTGTTTGACACAAAACTGTGAGTTGTTGTTCAGGTTCGATCTCGAACACAAAGTGTTTTTTATTACAAGCGGTGTTTCGGGTAATCAATTTGCTTTTTCTTACAATGGAATAAAGCTTATTGTGGAAGCGCTCATTAAAGAAGAGGCGGAGTTGGAGATCGAAGCATTTCAACAGCAGTTTCCTTGAAGGTAAGTGAATTTTAATTCCAATAGATCAAATTTAACATACACTCTTTACTCTGTTCGTTGAAAGTTTTATATAGACCAAAAACTTAATTTTTGTTCATAGTTGTTACCTTGTAAAATAGAATTACATCACCCATCAGTTTAATTGTTATCACATTCTGTCTTCCGGTGTATTGCGATATCATTTATCTTGTCAGCGTGTTATGAGCGGTGAACGACCGAGGGTTGTTACCAGGTCAAATTTATCTCATTGTTTGCTCATATGAGCGACGTATAAAGTGTTTATAAAGTCAACTTGGTTAGGTTATGTGATATTCCTGTCATTTTTGTGGAACATAGTGTAACATATTCCTGTTAGACATTGATTGTGCTACAATAACACGTGTAATGCATGGCACAGTTTGGTATTTCTTGTACTTTGATGTCACAGACCTACGGTTCGCACCTTTGATCTTTGACCGATGGTGAGCGAGATTCACATGCTCACTTAATGGTGTACGTGCAGCTACTTTGATTGGATAATAGTGAATTTATCACTTGTATTCAGAACCTCTAAATAGTATTTTAAAATCAGTCATAATGATGAGACCATTAGTTGTGCTCGTGTTGTTGTTATTCACCTGCATAGCAGGTGAATCACAACTTTTCACAAGGAAATTGTAAACCTGTGTCCTCCAAAGTGTTAACATGTATCGCTACAGGACATAAACTGGTGCATGTAAACGGAAAAGTGTATCATGGTATCGAATACTTGAAACTAAATGGACCCACGACCAGCTGCTCATTGCCTTGTCGCGTTTTCCAGACCTAAAGGTAATAAGTTTATTTCTATATTCTTACGGAACATTGATATCAAATTATATCATCTTAATTATTCATATCATGTTCCTCACAACTATGTTTCATATAGAGAATTACAAATATATACTTATGTTTTCAGCACATCAAAGGAGACAGAGCTGACTGTGCCAGTGTGGAAAACAATAGCGATAGAGGAGGAAGACTCATTACTGTCAACTATCGCCAGTGTTATTGTAAGTGTTTTTTATTTCCCTGGTTTTAAAACTGTGATACACTCTTGCTTATGTTTACTAATCACACTGCTGTAAAAGCAACCAAATAGGATACACTTCTGTACTACACATCTGAATCTATATATAGTGGTTATACATGTTGTTTATTGTCGCAATTTTCAAGATTGTGTGAACACATAAGATTATTGATGAATCTATTCATTTTTGTTGTTGTTGTCGTTAAAATTTGAACACCTACATTTTTACATATGCATACGACCCGTGAAGGTCCGGGGTAGAATTGGCCTTCAGCAACCCATGCTTGCTGTAAAAGGCGACTGAGCTTGTCGTAAGAGACGACTAACGGGATCAGGTGGTCACTCGCTGACTTGGTTGACACATGCCATCTGTTCCCAATTGCGCAGATCGATGCTCATGTTGTTGATCACTGGATTGTCTGGTCCAGGCTCGATTATTTACAGACCGCCTCCATATAGCTGGAATATTGCTGAGTGCGGCGTTAAACTCAACTCACTCACTCACTCACACACATATGCATACAATTGTATGATAAGGAAGAGTGTTATATATTACGTCCGCTTCTTTGAATTCTTTATTTATGATTTTATTTTCCTCTTTATATTCTTGTTTGATACTTACCTAATTCATTAACATATTATGTTAATTTGATTCCATGATTATTTCTCCAATCACTAACCTATGTTATTTACAACTTTGTTGTTTTGTAGTTAATTCAACCTCCTCAAGTACTACATACACTCCTACTACGATACCACATACAACTTCTACTACTCCTGTGTCGGCGCCTACAACGTTTACTACTCAAGTTCCTATCGACCTTCACCACCTCTTGTTTACCCACACCGATCCACAACTCCTACTACGCAGACTATCCCCAACTACCACCATACCAACTACCACTACCGCACCAACAACTACTATCCCCAACTACCACCATACCAGCTACCACCACTACTACCACTACCGCACCAGCAACTACCTATCCCCAACTACCACCATACCAACTACCACCACTACTACCACTACCGCTCCAACTACTATCCCTCCAACTACCACCACTCCAACTAGCAGCATACCAACTACCACCACTCCAACTGGTATCACTTTAACACATAACACTCAAACCACAGCAACTACTGAATCACCGCCTGACACATCAACTAGCACTTTCTTTCATCAAACAACCATATCCTCACCTATCACTTCACGTCATCCTAACTCGACTCTTTCTTTAACCTCACCTTCACTTTCCACACATACACCCTCATCAACAGATACATCAGTCAAGCCACTCATCATAACAGGTAGTGTTGTTGTTCTGTTTTGTTTCATCGTGTGTTGTATTTGTTTTGTCGTCAATAAAAAACGATCACATCAATTAATCAGACCTTTATCATTAGATCATATAAATTTAGATCATGTAAATTTAAAGAATGAAAATGATGAGGAAGAGGACACAATTTATCAAAAGTAACAACTGTATGAATCTTTATGTATCAATCACCTCACCGCTCTCCCTATGCACAGATCCACCCTCCCTACCTTTGAGGACAAGGATGATGATTCTCACCTACATACTTATGACGAAGATGATGATGATGATGATGATGATGATGATGGTGTCATGGATGATGATGATGATGGCGCTGATTACAACTCAACGCATGTGCTTGACACCACTGGTAGGTACATGTTCTTGTAAATATTTACCTGATGCATCTAGACAATTCATATTTTGTTCTTGTTTCAGACCAATATAGCACTCTATATAATGGCTGACTGTTCTTGTTTCAGACCAAATAATGGCCGCACTCTTGAGTCTTGTGACACTTGCTTTACTTAGTGGATTCGTGTGGGTGTTAGTGAAATACAGACGAAGACTGTGTCAAGCATTCATATGTCACCGTGTCACCAGCACAACAACCTACGTCACCGTCGCCAGCACAACCCTGAGATAGAACTAAATACCCTTCGTGCACGTTTACATTCATCGCCGATTTACACAGGTTCCTCGCTTCATCGTACACCTCCTCGTTCTCCCTTGGCTCAGACTACTAGGAAAACAGTCAAGACTGCTACCACCTCCACTTCAGTCCAGACTACAGCATTGACTACCGCCTCCACTTCAGTCCAGACTACAGCATTGACTACCGCCTCCACTTCAGTCCAGACTACCGCCTCCCGCTTCAGTCCAGACTACTGCCTCCACTCCAGTCCAGACTACTGCCTCCACTCCAGTCCAGACTACTGCCTCCACTCCAGTCCAGACTACTGCCTCCACTCCAGTCCAGACTACTGCATCGACCTCGCTCCAGTTCAACATTAATTATGAATCAGACGATTCTTTTGTCACTGACGAGGAGGATTTGCGTAATTTAACTCGAATGATCAATGACGGCAACATTAAAGCCAAACGTTTACAATCCCAGATTGATCACGTGAGAAGGTCCAAGAGACTGATGTACAAACAGATGAGAACCCCTCACTCTCTCATGATGCAGTGACATTCGTTTGAATAGATGCGCTTGACTACTAAGTGTGTAGATGCGCTTGACTGCGCTGTAAGTGACTTAGTATGTAAGTGACGCGTTTGTACAATAAGCCACGCGTTTGTTAACAGTTCCACGGGCAGTGGTTCACATGTAATCATCATAAAATGTATATAAAATGTATATAATCTGCGCTCGTTTTCTTTCTTATTTACAAGTAACAATGTAGGTGCACATTCTTTACCGAACAAAATGTATGTATCAATACTACTACAGATACATAGCTCCATATAATATGACACAACAAAACACATTCAAATTTTATAACTTTTATTTAGTGACAACGTATCGGTTGAATTTTGCACATCGCACCAAAAATATGAGTTGAATCATTGTCGAACGTTCACACTCACATGGACCGTCAGCAGTTACCTGAAAAAGAAAATGTACTTATTAACTCAGTACAATAATGTCAAATAGCGCAAATGTACATAGTAACTGTCTCAGCGTTAAGTAACTTCAAATGTACATATTCTATTACAAGAATACCAACATAATAGTGAAAACATGGTTTAACTTACATAGACTACTGGTGGTTTGGATACGGTGGTGGTGGTGATGGTGAAGGAAACTGATTCATCGGGTTTGGTGACATTGGACGAACACCACCTCTGCCATGAGCAACAGCATGCATGTGTCCTGCTTGTATCGTTTGCATCACTCCTTGAGCCCCTGGCTGCATCCCAGTCATGACAGAGGAAGGCTCCCTCGTCGCTCCAGGTTGAGCTCCTGATGTCAGTTGTTGCGCTGACATTGCAGACGATGGAGGTTGAGGCTGGGAGGTTGCAGGTGGTTGCGGTGACGGCAGCTCCGGCTGAGGCACGTCATCGGCATTTCGTAGGGTTGCCTCATACTCCTCCAGTCTGGTCACGTATTCTTTACTCCTACCAATAAAGTGATGAAAAACCTCCGCCGTCATTGGGATGGTCTTTTTCACACCTCTGGAATTCCAGTTGGACAGATGCACATACACTACCCCATTGAAGTAGTTGATACTTAGATAGTGCTTGTCAGCAAACTGATAAACGACTTCATTCGATGACATGTTGTTGAGACGTTCACAGGTTCCAGAGTTCCGTGTGGTAGCTTTCAGAGTGAAAGTTGTGCTTGTAAGTGGTGAGTGGTTCTATTTATGCTCAAGATTTTTGATCATGTGATGTTCGAAATCTTTCTGGAAGCTTTACTTGCAAACACATGATTGATATGATTCTGGAATGTTGTTTTTCACCTTCAAATCTGTCAAGTCATGATTTTTATATAACATCAAGTACTCCACGTGATATGATTCTGGAATGTTGTTTTTCAACTTAAATCTGCAAACTCATGATTTTTTATATAACCTCATCCAACCTCCTCACGTGATATTTCAGAAAGAAATCTGCAATCTCATGATTTTTATATAAGGTATCACATGACAGTGCCATTCATCAAACGGTTTATATAACCCGAGAAAACACTACCCTCTTTTATGAGTCAACATGGACTCATGAGTTTGCAAATTTTGTTATTACCCAATTTTACTGACTCATCCTCACGTGATCTCAGCCTTCATTAAAAACCAAAACAATGGATAGTATAAAACGTAGTAGCCATTTCAAATAGGAAGTGCTGACACAGAAAGGAATGTGTATCACGTGACTTGCTCACTGTGTGGTCATTGTTGAGATGTTATAATAGATCATGAGCCACAACTGACTAGTGTAGCAGCTGCGACTTGACACTATTGAAAAGAGATGCCGTGTGTCCAACTTAACCTGTTTGTGAACATTTTAGGTAGATAGCAGAATTCGAAGAACAGCATTTTGCAAAATATGAAATTATCTAAGCTGTAATCGTTTTGTGTTTTCTTCACAGAAACATTCGAGTTCAACAACACCACCTGGATGTATTGTAGGAATAGTTTCATTGGTAAATACTTTAGAGTTTTCTGCTTATTTGAGGTCAAAGCTTCTTTAACTTTTATTTGTTACCTCCTCGGTTGTTATGTAAAGTGTACATGACACGCATAAACACACCAATGTGTGCATGACATCAAAGGTTAGACGTGATGACAAATGCTAATATACTAATGCTATATTAACTTAGACTCTTCATTCAGCCAAAACATGGCGTAGCAGACCTTTCCATATAAGGTTATGCTTACTACTTGATCACCGATCAGAGCAGGGGGCGGTCTTGTGAAAAAGGAACAATTACACTGGTGTCAGCAATATATATATATATTTATTCGGGGTTCGGGGGCGGTGGAAGTAGCCTAGTGGTTAAGCGTTGGCTCGTCACGCCGGAGCCAGGTTCGAATCCCACATGGGTACAATGTATGAATCCCATTTCTGGTTTCCCCGCGGTGATGTTGCTGGAACAACCTGTTCAAGATCATATTGTTTTTGAACAATAGGATTGCTGAAACATATTTACAATGTGTATGACACCATAGAAACATGAATTAAAAGCAACAGAAACAAACATTGCTTAACAGACCTTTTATTAACAACATAAGGTGTCATTCTGCACAAGTCTTAGAGATTCAAGGAATTATTCACACGAAAAAAGCAATCTTTTTGGTTCAATGATTTTAAAGAAACATGTGATTGTGTTTTAGTCTTAACATGGAAACGTGAAATAGCTCAGATGCAGCAAGTATAAAACAGAAGACTATTGTTTAGCGGCATTTATGCCACAGAAAGATGTTTGTGTCCTGGGGTCCCAACTTGGCTGCTCTCCTGATGTAAAGGACCAAAGTGTTTCTTTGATAGGGAGGCTGTTGAGGGTGTCATTTCAGAAAACTGTTTTGTCTTCTTGGCAGGTTAATGTTTTAATATGTGGATAAGTCCACATCTCTTCAACCTCCTTTGTCTGTCGGCTTGGTGACGATTCTTCTGTGTCATTATTATGGGACGATAAAATCTCGACTGAAGGGTTGTAACGCAAGACAAGAGTTTTATTCTTGCTGACCCTCATCATCATCATCAGTATCGTCATTGGCAGCCATGACAGATTCACTGTCACTTTCTACTTCAGGCATATCTATACGAGTCAGAATGTGTTTCAATGATAGTTTTCATGAAACGGGTTATCTTGTTTTTGATGATAGATTGATCAGTGCCAGGGTCCATATCCTCAAGGCTGTCTAGGTTGGGTTGAAATAGAGGTGCCTGTTTAAAGTATTGAGTGAACTCTATGGCATTGTTAAGGCTATTGGCCAATTCATTTCCCCATATCTGTTTTCATTTTCTGTCAATCCAATCTTCTGTTCGACATTGTTTTCTGTACTTTTTCCTTTTTGAGTTTCATCACGTCATGGTTGATGTTGTACACACGATTCCAGATGCGTTGTAAACCCACATTTTGCCACTCCCTCCATGTCAGTGTTTGAAGGCTTCCGACGACATTGTTTTCCAGCAGGAACCTCCTCCTTTCTGTACAGGAAGTTGTTCATCGCCTTCACTGTTGTCGTCACTATCATATCTAAGACGTTTCCTCTTGGATTTCAAACTGGTGTTTGCTGGACACCATGTTTTGATATGTCGCTGTAGATCATGCATATTGTTCTATCAATACGCCACAGTCGGTACATGCAGTGGCCATGGTGAAAGGTCCTGTGAAATGTCGTCACTCGAGATGGATGCTGCTTCAGTGTCGTTGTCAAAGCTAAGAGATCTTTCTTTGGATGTGTGATCAGCACAAATGTCGGAAACTGTCTGAACGTCTAATACTGGAGAAACCTTTTTACCTGTTTTGTTGCAAACCACTCTGTTGATCAGATGTATTGAGGTTGGTTTTCAAGAGATTGACATGGAGTCTATTCTTTTCACTTGTACTAGGTTTGAGATCCACTGTGAGGTGTCCATAAGGTGTTTCAACAGCCTTTTCATAAAGAGTCATAAATCTACTAATGTTGTCAGGAAATATCCTTCTGGCAAATAACTTCACCTGCTGTCTGTCCACTGGTGAAATTGAAAAGTGTTACATAATGTGAATTTAGAGCAATGTCACGAGATTCCTTACCTCTTGGGAAGAGGTTTTGCAATAGCAAAAAGATAATAACATTTTTTTGTGGTGGGAGGTTTGAGTAAACAGGACGGGAAACTGGGCTTATCCTTCTTTGCTTCAGACAGAAAATCATCCAACACCATCATGTTCTGGTTGTGGGCATCAAAGTAGTTTTCATCTTCCATATTGTAAGGTATTCCTTTCACAAAACGTAATTTGGGGTAAAGTTTGAAGAATGCTATCATAAAGAGGTTGCCACACGGTATAACACCAGACTATACAGTCAGGTAGAGGTTGAGAATGAATCCATGTCTTAATAGGTTGAAGACAAACACTGACTTTCCACATCCACTGGGTCCAACGATGATGCCATTGGAGGGAATCAGAAATTTGAATCGTTCATGCTTCTTGTGCTCCTCCTGAGGAGGAGTAGGAGGAAGTTGTTTATCCTGAGGCGGAGAAAGTTGTTTATCCTGGGAGGAGGAGGAGGAGGAGGAGGAGGAGGAAGTTGTTTATGCTGGAGGAGGAGGAGAAGGAAGATGTTTATCCTGAGGAAGAGGAGGATGTAACTCTTGAATTGATCCATGCATATGCATCTGCTTCTGATGTCTTTGTAAATTATCTTTTCGCGTAAATCTCTTTGTCACAGTCTGGACGGGTGGTAGTAAGCTCCATAACTGATGTAACACAAGTGGGTGATTAGAGAGTCTGAAGCATTCTTTTTATACCTTTGAGCCATGTTACGTTTCAAGGCAGCTTTAGTCCGTTTCATAATGATATTGACACAGGTTGTATTTTCAGTGCAGTCTTCTTTTTGCCTTCACAGTTGCCCTTCTCTTTTTCATGTTAGATGTAACCTGTCTTTTCAGCGATCCCATTGCTTTTCTCTGACGTGTTTTTTGTTGACTTGCTCTTGCCAAACTTTGTGAACATGGGTGTAGGGCCAAATATATCCCCTGGAAGCTCTCCTCATGTTGAAAAAGGACGTCTTATCCGTCAGCAGTCAAAGAGTGAAATGCCAGTAATTACTTACTTCCAGTTTATTTATTATTCTACTTTCTCACTATACAGGATATTTTTGAAAATGATATTTGCATTTGTATATTTTTCACTTATACCCAACAAAACATCATTTCCATGTTTTTCCACATACATCAATAGCATCATTGACAACTTCTGAAACAAGAAGGTGTACAGTATTTGAAGTAGTGACAAATATATTGAGATACATAAGTGTCATTCCATATAAAGTTCCTTACATCAAATTGATGAAGAAAGTGCTTATAGTTTGGCACAAACCAATCAAACATAGATTTAAAAGGATGAAGTAGGAACTGAATATCTCAATCTGGTGAAATCGGGAAATGTGATACTTTAAATTAGAATTCAAATCTGCTCTCACCAAAACTTTTGAGTTGTGTCATCATGAGTGAGAGCTCTATCATAGCTTAGAAATTGATTAAGGCAAGGAACGCGTGTATATCAAGTAATCATCAACATATGAAACCCTCAAATTGCAGTGTATACATACAGTGTGATTCAGTCTTACAGAGAACATGTCTTGGGGAGTGTATGCTAAAGATGCTTTACCCACACTCACACCTTCACTTTTTATGTGGCTTCTATTGTTTGTATTATCTCTTATGTAAAATGTAAAACCAACTGGAGTTTTCATCACCGCATATACGTAAAACTGATTTTGAATTGATCATGATTAAATGGAGTGTAACACAACTTGTATGTGCATATTTTACATAAAACAAGGGAAAAACTATAAGAATTTGATATTTGAATAGTAGGAACGTGTACTGACAAATGCCGTGATCTATGGAATGTGAGTTAAGCGCACCTGTATATACCTAAGTGGTAGCTGTAGGAATGTCTTTCACCCTATGGTTTCCTACGTTCCTTAAGGAATGTCTTTTGTGCTGCTCTACGCTCCTTAAGGAATGTCTTTTGATCCTTAAGGAATTTCTTTGAGCCTGTAGAAATTTCTTTTGTTGTAACAACTGAACCTATGGAATGTCATTCATAATGTAATGAACCTACATTACTCTTTAAGGCTGAGCCTGTAGGAATTTCTTTTGTTTGGTTCAGGAATGCTATTGTTTGGTTCAGGAATGCTATTGTTTGGTTCAGGAATGCTATTGTTTATGTGTATGGCTGATTACTTATTACCTACTCATATGTGATTTGTGTCATAAT